GGTGTTGTCTACATGTTCGCCATCGAGGAAGTTGGTGTCTAGGTGTTCGCCGTCGAGGAAATGGATGTCTAGGTGTACGCCGTCGAGGAAGTGGGTGTCTAGGTGTTCGCTATTGGGGAAATGGGTGTCTAGGTATTCGTCGTCGAGGAATTTGTTGTCTAGGTGTTCGCCATCGAGGAAATGAGTGTCTAGGTGTTCGTCATCGAGGAAGTGGGTGTCTAGGTGTTCGCCATCGAGAAAATGGGTGTCTAGGTGTTCGCTATTGAAGAAATGGGTGTCTAGGTATTCGCCGTCGAAGAAATGGATGTCTAGGTGTTCGCCGTCGAGGAAGTGGGCGTCTAGATGTTGGCCGTCGAAGAAGTGTCTAGATGTTCGCCGTCGAAGAAGTGAATGTCTAGGTGTTGTCTACATGTTCGCCGTCGAGGAAATGGGTGTCTAGGTGTTTGCTGTTGAGGAAGTGGGTGTCTAGGTATTCGCCTTCGAGGAAGTGGGTGTCAAGGTGTTTGCCTTCAAGAAAGTGGGTGTCTAGATGTTTGTCTTCGAGGAAATGGGTGTCTAGGTGTTCGCCTCTCATTCTGACAGGTTTGACTCTAGATAGCAAGAGGTAAATGTGGCATTTAGTATTAACCTTTTAACGGCGGGAAAATGTAAGTTAAAATCGACCTTTTATTAGACGTAAAATTTATAAATAAATTCAATTAATTTCTTATGTGCAGTCTCCAACCAGACTGCTAGTCGATATATCGACCAGCCCCGTCCGCAAGGTAAAGTCCAATGTAAAAAAATTTGGCGTGAAGGTTTGAGAGTATTTTCCTACGTAATTTGTTGCGCTGAATACGGGAAAAATCGTGAAAAAAATCCTGGTGGCCTTGACCTTGAAAATCGCCATTTCAAGGTCAAATTTTTTTTGCTATTATTTTGGCTTCAAAGTTGGTATACCCACGTTTTTAGATGCGCTTAGTACAAAAAAATAGTCATATGTGTCGCAAATGTCACCCTCAAGAATATTTCAAGGACACCAGTTATTATAGAGTAAGCGTTTGTCAGTAAACATGCTTACTGCCCAAAGTGTCACGAGGAAGCTGCTGAATAATCGTACATCATTTTCAAGCCCTTTTACTCACTTTTACTCGTCCATTCCTCAAATAATGACTTTTTCAAAAACCTCTAAATATGAAGATGGACAATGGCTCCCTAAAATAGTTTTTCAAAAAACATATAAAAATTACATAAAAAATTATAGTAGCTCCATATTCTATGAAAGAAATACTCTGACTTTCGCTCTTAGCGTGACCCTGAATCAACAACGTGGATATGGCGAAAATGTGATCCCTTTGGGGTGCTTGATTTTCGTGAGTCCCCTTGCCTCTCACGTTGGGGTGCTTGATTTTCGTGAATCCCCTTGCCTCTCACCTCAGAATACTTGACTTCATGGTAATGTCGCTTGTGTGTGGTACTCTTCAAAGCATGGTGCTGCCCATAGAGGAGTATCACAACTGGGGCATATGTACATCGTTCGACGTGTAATCTTACGCAAAGAGCACAAGTAACATCTTCGACTTGTACGATGCCTCGGGAAATGACGACCAACTAATCGAGTAGGAGGACTATCGTTGCGAGAGATGCTTTCAGTAGGATCAAGTTTCAATAACGATCTAATAACCTCTAATCGAAATGAAGGAAACGGTGTATGTCCTTCATTTCTCAATTTATATAAAGCATGAGCATTAGATAGACATAGATCAATAAGGTGAAAAAATAGCTTGCGATACCACTTCATTGATTTTCTCACTGTTTCTGTTATAGATAATTGTCTATCTACATTATCTACACCGCCCATATTTTTATTGTATTCGTGGACACACGCTGGCTTCATAATGTCTTCATTTGTTCGATGATTCCTTTTTCCAGTTGCACAGAATTCAAGTTCGTGCACACTTGTAAGCATGTGAACACTACGTTTATCTTGCCACTTCATTGCCATCCACACATCATTATGAGCGACTTGTACTTCACCTCGCACTAATTTGTTTTCTAGCTTTGGCATTTTCTTTCTATTTGCTTTTACCGTGCCACACATTCCTGTGTTACGATCATGCAAAAATTCTGCCAAAATAGGAGATGTATACCAATTGTCTACATACACAACATGACCCTTATAAAAATAAGGTTGTAAGAAGTGAGCGACAATATCGCCAGTAACACCCAAACCAAACTTTGGTAATCAGTATCTGCACCAGTATAAACAATAAAGCACAATATGAATCCAGTCTCGCAGTCTACTAACTCGAAAAGCTTGATGCCAAAACGATTTCTCTTCAAGGGAATATATTGCTTGAATCAAAGCCTACCTTTCCATAATAACAGACTTTCATCTATGCACAGATTTTTGCCTGGAATAAGAGCTGCCGAGAATTTACTTTGTAGGTGATCTATTACTGGCTTTATTTTCACTAAAGGATGATCTACGATTTCTGAGTCATCTTCGTTATCGTGAAAATGTAAATAACGCAGAATTTGAATATATCTATCACGAGACATTATTTGACCAAAAATTGGAGTGTGCAACAAATGATCTGTAGGCCAATAATTTTTCAAGTTGCCTTTCCGAACATGGTCCATTAGAATCGAAAGACCGAGAAAATTTTCAAAGTCATTTGTTGTGAGAGGACACCAAGCTTTTATATGGGAAGTTTGAACTTCATGATTTTGAGTTTCATAACGATTCGTCTCTATAATCCTTTCAAGCAGAGAAGAATCACAAAAATAATTGAAATAGTCAATTGGCCTATTCCCCGATGTAGAGATATTCGGATTTATTTCGGAGCTACCTTCGAAATCTTTGATAGATGGGTAAAAATATGCGTCCTCAAAAATTTGATTTCCGCCATAATCGTCTCCCAAATCAATATCACCAATTTCTTCAGTCTCTGAGTCTCGTACCTCTGGTTCGGACTCGCCACTACTCCAAGCTTCATTTTCAGCCATTTTATCAAAGATAAGAATTTGATGTACTGTTTGGATAATAGTGTCAAAATAATAATAATAATAATAATAGTAATAAATAAATACTGGAAGAGTTCTAATCAGTAATATATTACAAATGAAAAGTAGCAATCTGCAGCACCTTTACTTTATACAAGAAAATGAGTAAACAATTTTAGTCCTCTACAAGAAAGAAAGAACCGAGTGCTAACCCGCTGGCAGGTACTAACGACAATTTCAATTTTTTACCCTGAATTCACCTTGAAGATGAGTTTCGCGATACGTGGTACTATTTTTTTCGTATTCAGCGCATCAAAAAAGATAGGTATGCCAACTTTCAGACCGAAATAGCAAAAAAAAAAATTGATCTTGAAATAGCGATTTTCAAGGTCAAAGATGCTCCCAGGAATTTTTACACTATTTATCCAATATTCAACGTGTTAAGACTTTACGTTCTTTTGCTCAATCGTTTATTATTATCATTATACTACAGCATTTCATTTTACATTTAGTTTAATAAACAGTGCAATACGCCTCTAATAGATGGCGCGCTTAATGGTTGGAGAGAAGGTGCGCGCGGTGTGTTGTTCGGTACAGTATTTTGTTCGTTTGGTTCGTTGTTGTAAGCATTAAGAAAGACATTCTGTAAGCACATAATTTTGTGGAATAAAAGCATTTTTTAGCAAAGGGGATTCTCTACAGAAAACTTCCCTAACATAGTTTTGGTCCTTCGAGCCGGATCGGTAGTCAATTAATCGGACTATCGAAGAATTACGACAGATAAGCAGAAACGCGGCAATTGTGTTGCAACGATAGAGGTTAGTTTGGCCGGTCGTTCACAAGGCAAAAGTCCGTAACATATTCACGCATATTCAAGCAATATATAGAGCATGGAGAATCTCACCAAGTTAAGAGCGAAAAGAACAAATGTGAAAGGACAACTCACGCAGTTTGTTAAGTTCGTGAGGGATCATGGAGAAGAGCGCAAAGAGCAGTCACCAGACAGGATTAGACGAGCGGAAGAGCTATACAGTACGTACAATGAGGTTCAATCGCAAATTGCAGAATTAAAATTAGAAGCAATAATAGGAAAAAACCCACCGCCGTCCCAGAAAGAAATGCAGGCGTTAGATGCAAAGATAACGCGAGAGAGACAGGCAGTTGAGGATACTTATTTTGAGTATTTAGCCATAGCGAAACAGTTGGTAGAAGCGGAACAAACAAATGTTGTAGTTCATCAACAGGAACAGCAGGTAAACAATCTCAGTGTAAAATTGCCTACGCTTCAACTTCCAAAATTCAATGGCAGCTACGACCAGTGGTTAATGTATAAAGATACCTTCACGTCGGTTATAGATTCAAATGTTAGATTGACAAGCATTCAAAAGTTTCAATATCTCCGTAGCTGCTTAACAGGAGAGGCTTTGCAGGTAATACATACCTTAGAGACTACAGTAGAGAATTACGAAATAGCATGGCGACTGATCAAAGAAAGATATGAAAACAAAAAGTTAATTATTAATACACATATAAAAGAGCTTTTTGAATTGCAAACCGTAAACAAGGGTAGTCATGCCGCGTTGAGAACTTTCATAGATTCTATCAGAACTCATGTCAGGGCATTAGAAGTACTGAAGCAGCCTATAGCACATTGGGATACCATTCTCATTTATTTGCTGAGTGACAAGCTGGATTACACAACAAGAAAGGACTGGGAATTAGAAATAGGCAAGAGAGATGCAGACAGCATGCCATCTCTAGAGGCGTTGTTAGAATTTTTAACAACTAGAGCTCACACATTGGAATTAGTAGAGGGATCGAAGAATAAGCAAGAGCATGCGAAGTATACAGCACTCAAAAAAGTCGGCAAAAAAGTAAACGTGGCAGCTACATTACCATCGTGCGTATTTTGCGAAGGTCAACATCATGTATCGAAATGTGAGAAGTTTCAGAAGTTGTCAGTTTCAGAAAAGAGGGAAGAAGTAAGAAAGCGACAGTTATGTTTTAATTGTTTGCGTAAAGGTCATTATATTCAAGCGTGTATAGCCTCTACTTGCAAGGTATGTTCGAAAAAGCATAACACGATTTTGCATATGGATCAAGGAGAGCAGATAGAAAACAAGACCACAACAGGGATGAACAGCAAAGACAAATCCAACACAACAGGTTTATCAAAGGAATTAAGGGCTAATACAGAAGCATCGGGTAAAGAAGCAGCAGTGATAGTGCATACAACGCGACTTACCGAATCTATAGTTTTCATAGCTAAAATATACGTCATGGACTATGAAGGAAATTGGAGAGTCTGTCGAGCCATGATGGATCCAGGCTCACAAAGTAATATCATCACCAAGGACTTAGCAAGAAAATTGAAGTTAAAGGGAAACAGAGTTGAGGTGCCAATTAGCGGTATAAGTCAAACGCAAATTACAGCGAAAGAATCAACTAGCATACGAATCAAGTCGATGCATAATGAGTTTTCGGCAGAATTAGATTGTTTAATAATGCCATCCATAACGGAAAGGTTACCACACATCAAGGTTAATACGCATAACTGGGATATTCCAGAAGAATTGAATTTAGCAGATCCAAGTTTTAATTTACCAGGAACAATAGACATCCTTCTAGGAAGCAGCCACTTTTGGACATTAATGCGTGCTGGACAAAGAGAACTCAGCGATGCCTTGCCTAGGCTGCAAGAGACGCAGCTAGGTTGGATAGTAGGAGGTGAACTAATAAATCCAAGAGCATTGAGCAACAAACGAGTTTGTAATATAGCAGCTATAAATCTAAACGAGCAGTTAATAAAATTCTGGAGCATTGAGGAATCCCCGATTCAGCAACGGGAGAATTTATATACGCCACAGGAGCAATTAGCAGAAGATCTGTTCTTGCATACTGTGCGAAGAGATCAGGATGGCAGATACATAGTGCGTATGCCAAGAGAAGAGTCCATCAAGCTAGGCAATTCGGAAAGCATAGCAATCAAAAGATTCTTAGCGATAGAAAGAAAGCTAAATCAGCAACCGAAGTTGAAAGCAGACTATCATAAATTTGTAAAGGAGTATGAAGAATTAGGACATATGTCCATAGTCCAACCACCATATTCCATGCCAGAAAAGGAGTACTATTACCTCCCGCATCAACCAGTGATCAAGATAACAAGCTTAACAACAAAACTACGTGTAGTTTTCGATGGATCTTCTAAGTCATCAACCGGCACATCTTTAAATCAGAAATTGTTAAGCGGAGCCAACCTTCAGAGAGATTTATGGGAAATTATGATTAGATTCAGAGCACACCAGTATGTGATGACGGCAGATATTAAAATGATGTTCAGGTAAATTTGGATAGCCGAAGAAGATAGAGATCTTCAGAGGATTGTTTGGAGATATGACGCCACGGATCCGATTCAGGTATACTCATTGAATACCGTGACATATGGAACTACATGTGCACCATTTTTAGCCATGCGTTGTTTAAGACATCTAGCAACGCAGCCAGAGGCAATGACGCGAAAGGCACCAGCAGCAGCATTACTTCAAGACTTTTATATGGACGACGTGTTAACAGGCAGCCACACATTAAAACAAGCAATCAAATTAAGGAATGAGCTATCAGAACTACTTGGAGCGGCAAGATTTCCTCTCAGGAAGTGGAGAGCGAGTGATACAAGAATATTACAAGGTCTTTCTCAAGAGATCGAAGAAGATTCACTATTGGTTTTAGATGATGCAGTGCCTTCGAAGACGCTAGGTTTGCTATGGGACTCATCCAAAGATCAGTTACAATATTCAGTAAGTCTGACGGACAGCAATCAGAATACGAAACGCAGTATTCTGTCGCAAATTGCGAGGATATACGATCCATTAGGATTAATAGGGCCTGTGTTGATCGTAGCCAAAATAATTATGCAAAATTTATGGAAACTAGATGTAGGTTGGGATGATCCGGTTCCGCCAGCTTTTTACGAAGCATGGTCTAATTACTATGCTTCGCTTGAAACGCTTAACCAATTCCGGATATCCAGAAACTTCAACCCACAAAACAGCAAGCAATCATTCACGCTCCATGGGTTTGGAGACGCCTCGGAAAAGGCGTATGGCGCTAGCATCTACTGCGTCTATGAAACGAAGCAAGGAGAACGCAAATCATACCTCATGTGTTCCAAAGCAAAGGTAGCACCTCTAAAAACGATCTCGCTACCTAAACTAGAACTATGTGCAGCACTTATATTAGCTCGATTGCTAGCAGCAGTAATAAAGGCTATGAAGCATACAATCAAAGATGTCCATCTGTGGAGTGACTCCACTATAGTGCTGTGTTGGCTAGATACACTTCCTCACAAATTAAAGACATATTACGCAAATCGAGTCACAGAAATACATGAACTTATACCAGAAGCCAAGTGGCATCATGTGCCTTCAGCCCAGAACCCTGCCGACATGTTGTCAAGAGGAACTACAGTCGATCAGTTGAGATCAAATAGCTTGTGGTGGCATGGCCCTACATGGCTCGCACACGAAGATCAATGGCCTAAGCCAATCGCAAATGTACCAACTGCTAAAATAGAACTACGGAAAGAAAATGTATTTGTAGCAGCAGAGTCTCGACAGGATGTTCTTCAGAGATATTCTTCCTTCAGCAAACTCAAGAGAATTATAGCATATTGTCTACGATTTAGGGATATTCTGTCAAATCAACGCAATTTTAATGCTTTAAATCCCGAGGAACTTAAAAGAGCAGAACTGATTATCAGCCGCATGGTGCAAGCGGAACGGTTTCCGCGAGAAGCATGTTCATTACAGCAAGGAAAAGAAGTACCTGCTAATAGTCAATTAGCTGCACTCAACCCCTTTTTGGATGAAGCAGGAGTCATCAGAGTAAGGGGCAGATTAAAACACGCAGACCTTCCATACAATCAGAGGCATCCGATTGTTCTACCAGCGAGACATCACATCACGGAGATCTTATTAAGACAAGAGCATATTAAATTACACCACTGTGGGCCTCAGCAGCTGTTAGCAGACATCAGGACGCGATATTGGCCTCTTTCGGGAAGACGAGAAGCTAGAAAGATTGTGAGACGATGTATATCGTGCTTTAGATACCGACCAAGCATTCCTAAATTGAAGATGGCAGATTTACCAGCATTTAGAGTTACCACCGATATCAGACCATTTAGCGTTTGTGGAATTGACTTCGCAGGTCCATTTAGCCTTCGAGAAAGCAAGAGAAGAGGTAACCTTCCTATCAGCAAAGCCTACGTAGCAGTTTTCGTTTGCTTTAAAACGAAAGCTGTACATCTTGAATTAGTTAGCAGCCTATCAACTGAGGACTTCATGTCCGCCTTTCGACGCTTTTGTGCAAGAAGGGGAACGTGCTCTCATGTGTACTCGGACAATGGCACTAACCTGGTAGGTGCTGCAAACGAGCTTAAGGAAATCTATGAGTTTCTCAAGACGCAGGAGTCTTGCATCGCGACAAGATTGGCAACGCAGAATATAAAGTGGCACTTCATACCTCCCCGATCGCCACATTTCGGAGGACTTTGGGAGACTGCCGTTAAAAGCGTCAAACGCCATTTATGAATCACCATGAAGGGTTTGATCTATACCTTTGAGGAATATTATACCTTATTGGTCGAAATTGAAGGTATTTTAAATAGTAGGCCACTGACAGTTCTATCATCAGATCCCAACGACTTAGAACCCCTCACACCCGCCCATTTCCTTATTGGAGACGCCTTAACAATGCCCGTTGAAAAAGATTTATTGAGTATCAAGGATACGCATTTATCTCGATGGCAACACATTCAAAAGTTACGCCAGCATTACTGGCAACGATGGCAGAAGGAGTATTTACAGCAACTACAAGCCCGAACCAAATGGAAAGAGGGTGACGACGTGGTACGGGTTGGAGACTTGGTTCTTTTGATCGAGGACAACCTACCTCCGCTGCAGTGGAAATTAGGACGGATCGAAGCGTTGCATCCAGGAGAGGATGGTGTCATAAGAGTAATAACTGTACGGACGTCCACGGGAAGTTACAAGCGCGCCGTTAAGAAGATATGTGCCCTTCCCTATAAAAACTAGAGACTTTATCATACAAGTTTGTAGATTCTAATAACTCAGTTATTCAGTTAAAATTGTTAGTCTTAAGTTGTATAATTCATTATTTATCATTAGATAACTTTATTTGTAGTCAGTAGCAATATTGTCAAGGTGACATACAGTTTAATTGAAAGATGCCCTTTCAAGGGGGGCGGAATGTTAAGGCTTTACGTTCTTTTGCTCAATCGTTTATTATTATCATTATACTACAGCATTTCATTTTACATTTAGTTTAATAAACAGTGCAATACGCCTCTAATAGATGGCGCGCTTAATGGTTGGAGAGAAGGTGCGCGCGGTGTGTTGTTCGGTACAGTATTTTGTTCGTTTGGTTCGTTGTTGTAAGCATTAAGAAAGACATTCTGTAAGCACATAATTTTGTGGAATAAAAGCATTTTTTAGCAAAGGGGATTCTCTACAGAAAACTTCCCTAACACAACGCATAAAATTTTCCCTGAAAAAACATCAAATATTATGTGTCTCCTGGTTGGTCGACCACTCCCGCCCTTAAAGGTTAACCGTTAAACTATTCAGGTTAGAATCTGTCACATCGGTGGAACAGAGGAACACGTATGAACACGTGAGGCTAGAATAAATATTCTCTGCTGTTCAATTAATATTATCTTATAAAATTTATAATAACTTTTATTGCAATATTCTTTCGTACGCAGGTTTAAGAAAGTGTTTGCAATGCAGTAGAAAGCGTGTATATATAT